GATTTCCAGCCTCGGCTCTTCGCAGTTTCCTCTCCTTGTTTTGCTTTCGATCTGGACTGTTCTCAGGCAAGCCGGGGAGTAACTTTTAGTTTTGCTCCTGCGATTATTCAACTGACGGGCTTTCATTTCCATTTCACATACCCTAGCAACACTTACACCTTGCGGAATTGTATTGGTAGCGTGAAAAAAAGCACAGTGAGAGGTAACATTTTTTTCAAATCATAGTTGTGACTGTGCGTGTGTTTTCTCTCGAGGGCATGTTTTATGGGTACCGGAGGAGCTGTGTTATGTATGTGCGTCCTGATGCTTTGACACGATGTTTTGCACACGGAAAATGCCGGGATTCATAAATATTAATACCGATTTTGGGAGGCACTGTCGGCGCAGTTATGGATGATCCGATTTTAGGGGAAGCAGGTTCTGCTTCTGTTGCTGCTGCTACTGGGGCTGCTGAGGCTGCAAAGAAGAGGAGGAGGTAGAGAGGGAGGAGGAGGAGGAGGAGGTTGGTGGAGCTTTAATTTCACTTTTGGATTTGCAGATGCGGAGAGGTGGCTCCTTGGACACAGACCTGTTCTGTGTGGTTCTGAGCCCCAGGTGTCGTGCGTTGTGGGTGCGGGTCCGCTGGAGTCGGGCCTCATTTAAAACGAAATTGTAGAGTGTGTGTGTGAGAGAGAGAGGAGAGAGAGAGAGAGAGAGAGAGAGAGAGAGAGAGAGAGAGAGAGAGACAGACAGAGACAGAGACAGAGACAGAGAGACAGAGACACTGTCGCCACCAGATTCGAAGGAGGGGACCGGGTCCTTCTCGGTGCCCCGCGGCGGCCCTTCTCTCCGGGCGGGCACCCACGGTTCCCAGCTGCCCGCGCAGTGGCGATAGGAAACTTGGTGGGGCGCCCCAAGGCGGTCCCGGGCTGCGGCAGCCAGCCGGGCTGGGGCTAGGGTCGCGGGCGTCGGGTGCCGGCGGCCGCTTGGGCAGGGCGGGCTGCGTGCACGGGCCTGGCCGATTCGCCCGGCTTCCTAGGGGCTGGGCCGCCGCCGCTCGGCAGGACGC